ATAACATTTACCTATTTTATCTCACAATTCTGACTTTTTTTTCTCGCAAATGCAAGTTTATATCTCCTAGTTTGGACTTTATAACTCAATTTAACTCAACAATTGCGAGTTTGTCAATTCTGAGGAAAAAAAGGCAGAATTGCGAGTTTACATCACGCAGTTCTGAGGGAAAAAAAAGGCAGAATTGCGAGTTTATATCACGCAATTCTGAGAAAAAAAGTAAAAATTGCCAGTTTACATCACGCAATTCTGAGGAAAAAAAGTCAGAATTGCGAGTCTACATCACGCAATTCTGAGGAAAAAAAGGCAGAATTGCGAGTTTACATCACGCAAGTCTGAGGAAAAAAAAGGCAGAATTCCGAGTTTACATCACGCAATTCTGAGGGAAAAAAGGCAGAATTGCGAGTTTACATCACGCAAGTCTGAGGAAAAAAAAGGCAGAATTCCGAGTTTACATCACGCAATTCTGAGGGAAAAAAGGCAGAATTGCGAGTTTACATCACGCAATTCTGAGGAAAAAAGTTAAAATTGCCAGTTTACATCACGCAATTCTGAGGAAAAAAAGGCAGAATTGCCAGTTTACATCGCGCAATTCTGAGGGAAAAAAAGGCAGAATTGCGAGTTTACATCACCCAATTCTGAGGAAAAAAAGTCAGAATTGCGAGTTTATATCAGGCAATTCTGAGGAAAAAAAGGCAGAATTGCGAGTTTACATCACCCAATTCTGAGGAAAAAAAGTCAGAATTGCGAGTTTATATCAGGCAATTCTGAGGAAAAAAAGGCAGAATTGCCAGTTTACATCACGCAATTCTGAGGAAAAAAAGTTAAAATTGCCAGTTTACATGCTATGTTCTCAGAATTGCGAGCTTACATCACGCAATTCTGAGGAAAAAAAGTCAGAATTGCGAGTTTACATCACGCAATTCTGAGAAAAAAAGTCAAAATTGCGAGTTTACATCACGCAATTCTGAGGGAAAAAAGGCAAAATTGGCAGTTTACATCACACAATTCTGAGGGAAAAAAGGCAAAATTGCCAGTTTACATCACACAATTCCGAGGAAAAAAAAGGCAGAATTCCGAGTTTACATCACGCAATTCTGAGGGAAAGAAAGGCAGAATTGCGAGTTTACATATCACGCAATTCTGAGGGAAAGAAAGGCAGAATTGCGAGTTTACATATCACGCAATTCTGAGGGAAAGAAAGGCAGAATTGCGAGTTTACATATCACGCAATTCTGAGGGAAAGAAAGGCAGAATTGCGAGTTTACATATCACGCAATTCTGAGGGAAAGAAAGGCAGAATTGCGAGTTTACATATCACGCAATTCTGAGGGAAAGAAAGGCAGAATTGCGAGTTTACATATCACGCAATTCTGAGGGAAAGAAAGGCAGAATTGCGAGTTTACATATCACGCAATTCTGAGGGAAAGAAAGGCAGAATTGCGAGTTTACATATCACGCAATTCTGAGGGAAAGAAAGGCAGAATTGCGAGTTTACATATCACGCAATTCTGAGGGAAAGAAAGGCAGAATTGCGAGTTTACATATCACGCAATTCTGAGGGAAAGAAAGGCAGAATTGCGAGTTTACATATCACGCAATTCTGAGGGAAAGAAAGGCAGAATTGCGAGTTTACATATCACGCAATTCTGAGGGAAAGAAAGGCAGAATTGCGAGTTTACATATCACGCAATTCTGAGGGAAAGAAAGGCAGAATTGCGAGTTTACATATCACGCAATTCTGAGGGAAAGAAAGGCAGAATTGCGAGTTTACATATCACGCAATTCTGAGGGAAAGAAAGGCAGAATTGCGAGTTTACATATCACGCAATTCTGAGGGAAAGAAAGGCAGAATTGCGAGTTTACATATCACGCAATTCTGAGGGAAAGAAAGGCAGAATTGCGAGTTTACATATCACGCAATTCTGAGGGAAAGAAAGGCAGAATTGCGAGTTTACATATCACGCAATTCTGAGGGAAAGAAAGGCAGAATTGCGAGTTTACATATCACGCAATTCTGAGGGAAAGAAAGGCAGAATTGCGAGTTTACATATCACGCAATTCTGAGGGAAAGAAAGGCAGAATTGCGAGTTTACATATCACGCAATTCTGAGGGAAAGAAAGGCAGAATTGCGAGTTTACATATCACGCAATTCTGAGGGAAAGAAAGGCAGAATTGCGAGTTTACATATCACGCAATTCTGAGGAAAAAAAAGGCAGAATTCCGAGTTTACATCATGCAATTCTGAGGAAAAAAAGGCAGAATTGCGAGATAAAAAGTCGGAATTACCTCTTTTATTTTTTATTCAGCGGCGGAAACGGGCTTCCATTGAGCTGTTTATTAACTGCTAAAACTCACTCAACCATTTAGCTTTTACCAGTGTTTCAAAATAACAACGAAATTGGATTTGTGTGCACACATGGGGGCTCTTATCACAGCAGGTGTTGTTTTATTGTGAGAGGGAATATCTTAAAGATGATTGGTAGCACCGTTTTTCAGCCCTCCTAATATGGCGATAGTATAAGCAATTTAATAGTCTTAATTTGATCGCCTCTTTTCCAAGTCCAGTTTTCTCTAATGCAGATTCGTCTCTTCATATCAATAGTTTTTCAACCAGTGAGATTTCGTGGTAGGCGGAGCTTCAAATGGAAAGAGTATGTGTGTGTAGATTTTGTCATACAGAATGCAAAGAGAAGCATGTTTATAATGATGTTTTGTTTTCTTACGGTGTATCTGTTTATGTGTGTGTCTTTCTCCTTCTTACATAGTCAGACGCTCTATAAACGTTCTGACTGATTTGACACGAGTTTGAGTTGGCGGGAAGTTCACCTTGTGTTTACACTGAGTTTACAGCGCCGACTTCTGGCAACATTTAGCTGCTGCACGTAAGGAGTAGAGATGTTTGAGCAACACATTCAGACTCTTACATTTGGGCCTGAATTGGATTTATTTCCATGTTTTCTATTCCTTCAGGTTTTTATTATTTTTATTTTTTGATTTTCTATAATTTATGAATTAAATGCATTAGATAATTAATTAATAAATTAATGCAAAATATGAACTAAAATAGAAAAAACGTATGTTTTTAGTTTTTCATATTTTTGTGTTACTTCGCTTATTTTCTTTATTATTTTTTTGTTTACATTTATTTAGTTTTTCCATAATTTATCAATTAAATCCTTAAATTGAATAATTAATAAATAAGAGAATTTTGTCTTTTTATTTTATTTTTATTGATTAATTGCAGGTTTGGTCCTTCATAAGATCTGTCATTTACAGTGAAGCTGTTTTGATATTTAACAGCTGATTGATGTGATTGTCGTGTGTCTGTTGTAAATATGAAAACGCTGATATCTGTTCTTTTGTTACAGGTCTCAAAGCACACTGTGAGGCTTGTAAAGAAAAGGAGGCTAAACATACAGGTGGGTTTCACGTGTATATAGCAAGCTTCGTTTGCAAATATATAGTAATCTGCTGCTCTGATAACTTCGCATTTGTTGGTGAGTTGTGTGATTGTAATTATGTGGTGTCATTATACTGAATGTCAAGCAGAGGGAGGCAGAGGTTTGCTAAACGCAGCTTTTAGGTTCACTCACTTCACCGTCAAAATGTATCTGTGGATGGAGTTTTTAATGTTTACTTTAAAACTTTAAATTTTAATAATAAAATTAATAAATGCAATAATTTTTAGTTTAGTTAAAATGATTTAAAATTAATAAAAATGTTATATTTATTTACATTTTAATTTAACAAAAAGATATTTAATTGAAATGTGTTCAGCGTTAATTTAAGTTTATTTAATTTTATGTAATGAAAAAGTATTGAATTAATTTTTATTGATTTTATAATAAAAATTATAAAAAATAAATGCAATTTTTAATTAAATTAATATGCATGTAATAAAACATCTTCATTATTTACATTTTGGTTCCATAAAAATATATTTAATTGTATTGTATTTCATTTTAATTTAATTGTATTTATTTTTAATGAATGTATATTTATTAAATTTATAATTTTAGAATAAATAAAATATTATGCATTTTACATTTTAATTAATATAATGAAAAAATGTTTAATTTAATTAATAATGCTATTTTAAATTAATTTTATTTATAGTTAATCTTATTTCAATGAGAATTTTAATTTCTTTAAATGACATTTTATTTTAATTTAATAAAGTAAAAATTGGCAACCAACAGATATTAGTCTTCAGTTGCATGTTGATACTGTAAGGTAAATGGTGTTCTAAAAATTGTTAAAAAAATTATTTAATAAAATTGCCATTTTAATCTTGTTTTAATGAGATTTCTAATGCAAATTAAATTGAATTAATTTTATTAAAATAAAAAAATTGACTTGATAAGAATTGCATCAGTTGCATGTTATATATATATATATATATATACTGTACATATAACCTTAATGTAATTTTAATTTTTTTTAGATATTATTAATTTTTTATGTAATTATTTATATTTTTATCTTACTTAATAAAATAAAAAAGGGGCGACTATTAACAATAAGAACTGGCAAACAACAGGTATTAGTCTTCAGTTGTGTGTTGATAACTGTAAGGTAAATGATGTTCTGTAAGCATTTGACTAAAGAAAAAGCCGAAACCTCGTTTCAGACGTCTGAAATGACAGTAACAAGAGGGAGTGACTAGTAGAGTTCACAGCAGGTTACATCTCAGCGTCAGCCCTCCCTCTACACAACACATCACTCCTGCTCTCCTCCTCACTCTCGTTCCCTCCGTCTCACCCCTCACTCCTGCTGAAGTTGACTTCAGAGAGAGATCGTGTTTACGGTTAGTGTACGGCGGTATGGCACAGAGTCAGACCTGCTCTCAAAGCATGGGAGCGTATTACTGCCTCGTTCGCAGGAGGTTCAAGAGAAGACGCAAAAAACGATCCGAACGCAAAGGTAAAGCGTTTGTCTTTCCACATAAAACCTAAATCGCTTTCAGTCGCTCTGGATCGAAGTGTGTGTAAACGTTTAATCGCAAACGCGTAATCGCAAATGTTTATGTAAACGTTTGACACTTGTTTTTTTCAATTTTGGTTTGTTTGTTTGATTAATTGTTTGAACTACATAAAACTGGAATCTACAAAAACAAAAAAAGTCCTGTAAAAATCCTGTAAATGACTTTTTTTGTATTTTGAGTAGATTTAACTTGTTTGCACAAATTGTGTGTTAGTATTAGTTTCGTTTGCGATGCTTTTATTTGCAACTTATCAATGCCAAGATATAGTTAAACAAGGTTTACGATCTTGGAAAACCTGGAAATGTTTTGTCATTTTGAAAGGCTGGAACAGTAATTATATATTAATTTTATAATCTTACATTTAGTTTTTCTTGTGTTAATAAAGTTATTGCACAGCAAACATAATATTTAGAGTTGAGTATACTTGATTTCTGTTTTTTGTACTGTTTGTACAAAAAAAACTGACACTTTATATCGCCATCAAATTATTTGTAAATTATTTAAGAGCTCAGCTCTTATTTAATCTAATGGAATGGAAAATTGGAAATTCTAATGGAAAAGCCTTGGAAATCTGTTGAACAAAATGTGTTTGAAGTTCAGATAGCTGTTGTTGCTGTCAGTGGCAACATCGAGTCTCAGACTGACTTTGCTGCTCTCTTACATACTAGTTCTTGCATTATTTCTACCTGCTGTGTTGTAGCTATCAACCGTTATTCTTCTCTACGACTTGCCTTGAGTCGCGGTTCGTAAAGGCTTGTACTGTATCTCTCTCTCTTTGAGACGGTTGTGTCGGTGCTGCAGGTTCAATTCAGACAGCTCCTCATGTGTGAAGTTTAATCCGTCTCATTAGGACGGCCACTTCACGCCGCTAATCTCTCACCACGGTTACGCCAGCGCCGCCGCCAGTCAAAGATGAGCAGCTGAGTTATTGTTAAGATAAAAGATTTTATCATTCACGTGTTTAGTGAACAGATAACCTTTTTTGTACTGTTTGTACAAAAAAAACTGACACTTTATATCGCCATCAATGCAAATAAAAGTCAAACTTGGGGCCAACTGCCATGAAAATTATTACAGTTCAATTTCTATTAAATTAAAATAAATTAATTTCAGTCTTAGTCATTGAAAAGTCACTTTTCCTATATATAATATAATAATAACGAATCAATATTTATTATTTATTGCTTTATTATTATTATTGTGAGGGAGAAAGGATGGAGAAATGTTTAGAAAACAAAGCCTATTTATGAAAAATTATGGAAATTTCATATTTCAGTAATATTTTTTTTTGTTTATTTGTTATTTTCTTCTTCTAAAGGCCAATTGAATGGATAAGTGTAATGGTAATTTTGAAAAAGAAATTGACCCATTCATATTTTTTGTATGTAGTAATATATTTGTAAATTGCATCTAGTATATATTTCTATAATAATGATAAATAAAAAATATTATAAAGGTTGTCCCTGTCACTTCTGCAGAATCGTGATGCTCTGATGGACGCATGTCTTCCCTGCTCATTTGTAGCTCACGGTCTCTTAAAATTGCTGGATGGAGGTCTTGATAAGCAATTGTTTTAGTATAATACAAACCTTCCCTCTTGGTATGATCTTGCCTTTATCCCATAATCGCCTTTACAATGGGCAACCTCTGTGGTTGAGCAATTCGTTTTGCAGCTTTCTAGTTGATAAAGCGTTATTAAGCAGGGATGAGAATTGCAAGAAGTGTAAATAATAAAATAATAATAATAAACTATACATATACATTAAAAAATATATATATACAAATAATAAACTGCTTAGTTCAACCTCAAGCATTACTGTTATGTTAGTCCAATCTGACCTGTGCTGCAGCCTGGAATTAAACCACATCATGCTGGTTTGGTCTGGTCAGAGGAGAACTGGCCCCCCGACTGAGCCTGGTTTCTCCCAAGGTTTTTTCTCCATTTTGTCACCGATGGAGTTTTGGTTCCTTGCCGCTGTCGCCTCTGGCTTGCTTAGTTGGGGACACTTCAT